TTGCTTTGAAGATAATTCAGAATCAGAGACTCTGAATGGGTTTGGGGACTTGATTATTTTGTTTATAAGGTTTTTTTTATTTAAGGGTGAAAATATGTTTATGTTATGTCATTTAAATTGTTTAGTAGATGGATGTTATTTCAATGGGACTGAAATTATCCTTTGAGCAGAGTGAAGTTAAAATGCTGGTGATCTCATTTTAGTATGTCAAGAATTCCCCGTTTCCTTTATTCTTCTAGAAGATTTCCCATGAATTTATTTTCCCAAATGCTTCAAAAATAAACACAAGATGTTAAAAAATATTTATTGAATGTTTCCTTAAGGTGTTCATATAAGATGACACATTTTGCAAGTACCAGAAACTTTTCCTTTATCTAGTTTAAGCACAAAGAAAGTACAGGGGTAGTGGTGGCTTCAGGCTCAGCTGGATCAAGCTGGTTCAAATGTCATCTTCAAGACTCTGCCACAATTCCACGTTCTGTTTGGGTTTCTTTTGAAGTCAGACTCTCTCTACTGACAGATACGATGGCTGTGGCAGCACCATACTCCTAGGCTGAACAGCCTCTTAGGCTCAACAGTAGAAAAAGACCATTAATCCTTTCCCAAGATTTCCCATGAGTTGATAAATGTTGAAGCTGGGTTTTGGGTTCCAAGGGGTTTATATGTGATTCTCACTGCTTTAGCATATATTTAAAATTCTTTATTTTAAATGTTTTTTTTAAAAGCACTTTTAGGGGGAGGGGAAGAAAAAAAAAAGAGGTTAGAGTGGGAGAGAGCCAAAGCATAAGAGACTCATAAAAACTGAGAACAAACTGAGGGCTGATGGGGCGTGGGAGGGTGGGGAGGGTGGGTGATGGGTACTGAAGAGGGCACCTTTTGGAATGAGCACTGGGTGTCATATGGAAACCAATTTGACAATAAATTTCATATATTAAAAAAAAAACCAATATGAAAGGACAAAAAAAAAAAAAAGAAATGAAAAAAAAAAAAGCACTTCTACATTTTAGCCGAGCTAAAAATTCTCAGGGAAGATTTTGATTGGTCCTGCTTGGGTCACATGCCTTGTGCTAACCCAATCACTTTGGCCAGGGAGATGGCATACTCTGATTGGCTAGGACTGGAACATGCGCACATCTTGTAATTGAATGCCTCTCTTAAGGCCTTTTGTTTAGGGGGAGAAATTCCCCAAAGGGAAAGCAGAGCAGGTGGTAGAAACCAGAAGGATGAAAAAGCATTCAGGGAGAACAAAACTCTAGACCTACCTGCTGTTATATTCGAACTGTTTGAACTAACAGGGTTTTCATGGTGAATATATGCAAAATGCTCATTCCAGAGAGATGGGTATGAGTCACTCCTGCAGTGGAGAATATTACATGCATTTAACTACCCTAGTCCAGATGTCATCATCTCTAATAAGAATTAGATTTCCTTTGTTCTCAGTAAATCCCTGTCTTACAAGGGGACTGAGCCCAGCCAGCTAGCCCACTGGTCCTCCACACTCCTGGTTTCAGGCTCAGCCCTTCACGGAGGCAGGAGCCCATTTGAAGAAATTTCAGTAGCATTTTAAGGTTTCTTCTAGTGGAACTTACAGTCCGTGGCAGATATACCGGACTACCTCTGCCATCTGTTACTTGGATGAAAGGCCGGGAAACTCAGCACTGGCATGAATGGCTATAAGGAGGTGTAGGGTGAAGGGGGTGTTCAGCCTTCATAAATCATAGCCCCTGAGCCAGGGCCTCTTTCTGAGGGTTATCAGCTCCCTTTCTGGCCCTAGTGAGATACTTCAGGGTGTTTTAGCTGCTGGACACCTATACCTTTCCATCCTCTTAATAATGGCCAGTGCTCAAGTCCATTTCTGTTTTGTTTTTTTTTTTTCTTTTTTTTCTTTTTGTAAACGTTTATTCATCTTTGAGAGAAAGAGCATGAGCAGGGGAGGGGCAGAGAGAGAGGGAGACAAAGAATCCGAAACAGGCTCCAGGCTCTGAGCTGTCAGCACAGAGCCCGATGCGGGGCTCGAATCCACGAACCGTGACATCATGACCTGAGCTGAAGTCAGACACCCAACCAGCTGAGGCACCCAGGCGCCCCTCACCTCCATTTCTTAGTGACTAAGTCGGACTCTGTGGCGTTGCCTTGTCGCCCATCTCCTGATAAAGATGAAAGGAGCCTTAAGCAAATAGCTCAGGCAAACCTCACCTAGTTCCACACCACACGCCAGCGTGTGCCATCCGTCCCAGGGCCCAAGAACAACAGGTATGTTTTGATGGACACTGAAAGCCCACAAGAAAGTACATGTCCACGTGTGTGGCACCCACCTTTTCCCTTGCTTACGTCCTAGAGGTTTGTAAGGAGTATTCACCTTCACCTTTTAAGGCTGTCTCGTTTGTGTCGTAGATATTGGGTAAAGTTAAGTAGGAGAAAAAATAAAGAATGTTAAAAAAGCTATAAAGTCCAAAGTAGATGAGCTTTTCCTACCTCTTAAGATCTGTGTTTTGTTTTGTTTTTTTTTCCAGTTGCCTTAGTAAGTTCTGGTATTATTTATAGTACCCCCCCCCCTTCCCAGTTCTTAAACCGCGGCGCCCTGGCAGAGCCTCCTGGAGGGATCCTCAGTGTGGCCTGGTTTAACCCACAGTCAGGGGCTGAGCTGGCAGGGAGGCCTTGCCCGTGTTTCTAAGCACTACTCTGCAGGCCTCGCGTAACATCTCCTAAACCTGCTGAACTCAATTTCCACTCTAAGCACATAAAATCATAATTGTGGTAAAGTAATAATAACGAGAGGGAAACAGAGATTGAATTTAATTATTAATGAAACAAATGACCCAGGAGAGTAAGAAACATAAAGTTCTAATTTAATCCTTGTTTAAATTCAGTGTTTGAGGCAAAATGCAGTCGTTACCCATTCTCACAATGACAAGGCAGGCTAGCCATCGGAACATCCAGAGTCCTTTTGAGAATGTTTATTTTCATGGCGATGGTTTTCTTTCTGGCACACTTGTTACGTTTTCAAAGGAGTCCGACTCTGCCATATGTACTGGGTAGGAGCTAGAAAAGGTTGGCGAAGAGCGGCTCCCACATGCGGGAAGGAAAAAGGGGAAAAGTGTGTATTTACATCTCATTATAAAAGCATATTAATTATTTTTTAAAAGTTTTTATGTAAAAAAAAATGACTTAAATTCCTACCAATCAGCAGTGTTACCATTTTAATGAGGACACAGTCAATATTTTTGCTGTTCCCATCAGTCTCTTTACCTGGTTACATGGTTACTTGCCATGGTTTTTTGTTTTTACATTAGTATTTACTATTTAAGGAGCTTTATAGAGCTTATTATAAAATGAAACTGAGCAAAACTAAACAGCTCTCCTAGTGAAAGGAGTCAAGGCTGAGTTCTATTTTGCTCATTAAAAGTGAGTTATAGGGGCACGAGGGTGGCTCAGTCAGGTAAGGGCCCAACTCTTGGTTTCGGCTCAAATCATGATCTCACAGTTGGTGAGTTCAAGCCCAGTGTCGGGCTCTGTGCTGACAGCGTAGAGCCTGCCTGGGATTCTCTCTCTCCCTCTCTCTCTCTCTTCCCCTCCCCTGCTCACTGATTCTCTCTTTCTCTCAAAATAAACTTAAAAAACTTTTTTTTTAAAGTGAATTATAAGGGGGTACTTGGGTGGCTCAGTTACGTGTCTGACTCTTGATTTTGGCTCAGGTCATGACCTCAGGGTTGTGAGATCAAGCCCTGAGTCAGGCTCCGTGCTGGGCATAGAGTCTGCTTAAAATTCTCTCTCTCTCTCTCTCTCTCTCTCTCTCTCTCTTTCTCCCCCTTTCTCTCTCTCTCCCTCCCCTCCGCCCCCCCTCTGCCCCTCCCCCTGCTCACATGCTCTTTCTCCCTCTCTAAAAAAAAAAAAAAAAGTGCATTATAAGACTTGGCTTTGACATCTCAGTGGAGAAGAAAGATGTCCTATGTTACATTTCAAATCTAAGGAATAAGAAATTGCAAAATAAAAATTTGATAAAATGTGTGTATTTTCTTTTTGGTATTTTTATACATTGAATTTAAAATGTCCAATTAGGGGCGCCTGGGTGGCGCAGTCGGTTAAGCGTCCGACTTCAGCCAGGTCACGATCTCGCGGTCCGTGAGTTTGAGCCCCGCGTCAGGCTCTGGGCTGATGGCTCAGAGCCTGGAGCCTGTTTCCGATTCTGTGTCTCCCTCTCTCTCTGCCCCTCCCCCGTTCATGCTCTGTCTCTCTCTGTCCCAAAAATAAATAAACGTTGAAAAAAAAAAATTTAAATAAAAAAAAAATGTCCAATTAAAGGTAATAGTAGTATAATTATCTAATACAGTAGTCTACATTATCATAGGATTAATGACCCATTTCACAATTGCTGGACATTTAGTGCCATCGTAAGTTTTTCACATTAGCAAATAATGTGCTATAAAAATATCTGCCTATATCACTTGTTTTCTTCTTCTTGAATTATATTAAAATTTTTCAGGGGCACCTGGGTGGCTCAGTCAGTCAGTTAAGCGTCCGACTTCAGCTCAGGTCATGTTCTCATGGTTCGGGAGTTCAAGTCTTGTGTCAGGCTCTGTGCTGGCAGCTCAGAGCCTGGAGCCTGCTTCGGATTCTGTGTCTCCCTCTCTCTCTGCCTCTCCCCTGTTCATGCTCTGTCTCTGTCTCTCTCTCAAAAATAAATATTAAAAAAAATTAAAATTTTTTGGAAGTAGCACTTGCTGGGTCAAAGACTATAATCATTTTTATATTTACATACTTAAGAGATGACTACACCGAAAAATGTGTGTTTTTCCAACACAAACTATGTAGCACAAATACAACAGGTTTATCATTGAGTTTCAAGCCAAAGTCCCAAAGTCAGGCTCACATACGCTTCCTTGGTTTATGAAAAAAGATTAAAGGTACCAATACACTTTTCCCAAATCAAGGATAACATTCCAAAACAGTAATTCTAGTACAGCCAGCCACCCTTTGTGATATTCTTCTAATTTTCAAACTATTTCATTCTTTTAAGCCAATGATTATCATACCAATTGCAAATGATATTGGGTATCTGATATCTTCAGATAGGCTTAAATTTAATCAAGGATTAAAAGAATGAGACCTGGCCTCTATTTAGTTCTTTGTGGAAAACCAGCATTTCTGGTCCCAGAATCCCTGTGACGTTAACATTAAGATTTACTGTTGATAGTGTAAAGATTTAATAAAATGGAAATTGGAATTCTCTACTCATCTCTCTTCTGCTTGTATTTGTTCCCAAGGTTTGCACGTGACAACGTAGAGATGGAGTGCACTGAACCCTTCGGGGGATGAATTAGGAAACTCGAAGGCCTCTATTTAAGAACCTGCACGAAGATACAATATGTACTTTGGTATGATGACAGCTGTAGTTCGTTTGTGTTACCACATATGATTTCTGCCACGTGAGGAACAGTAAATAGGGATCCGTGCCACTGGACGGGAATGTACCTTGTTGAGTTGTTCTCGCTCCAAGGAGTGCAGAGATACAGCATTAGCTCACTAACGAGTCAGTTCCTCTAGACCAATGATCATCAAACTTTTCCAAATAGGACCAAGTACGAAATAAGGTTTACATCACAATCCAGTAGAGATGTAATCCATTATGTTTGTGTGTGTCTGTGTGTGTGTAGGTATATATGTGTGCAATGTGTGTATAGAGATACACACACATACAAGGATCACAAAGGATTTACCTAAAGCATGCTGATATTTTTCTGTTTTTAATTTTTTTATAATCTTCATTAGCATCCAGTATCGATTCTATTTCCTGCAAATGAAGGCTTACCAGGAGTAGCAGTCACATTGAGCGAATCAACAATTTGCTGCAATGTCTTTTTTGTGTGGGTTCTGTCACTGTGGCTGCTTTTCCTGTTCTTGCATATGTGTAAAACCACTGGGTCGTTGTGTCTCTTGTGTTGCTACTTTGTTACAAATGGTATATTTTCTGTTTTATTTTGGGTTTTGTCAAACCAGTGGTTTCAAGTCCCAGAAATCAGTTACAGTTACTTAGATGATAAGTAGTACCTTTGATTGAAAGGAAGAGACAGGAGATCTGAATTCTATAATGTTTTGAGGTCTCTTTAAATACCGGAATTTAAATCATGTATTATACTGATCAACCTCTTGTTTTTTTAACAAACAGATTGCTCACAATCCTTTCAGTCTTTACAAATAGAAATGTATTGTTACATTAACTTTAACTGTAACTCATTTGATCAGCTCTCATTATTTCTATATTTCTAACTAGCTTGTCCTCAGTGGCAATTAGGGAAGGGGTTTTTTTGGTCACACGTACTACACAAAACAACAAAAAAACAAACCCTGAGCTCAAATGGCAGTTCTTCCACCTAATAGCTATATGACTTGGATCACACTATTCAAAGTCTTCATTTCCTCTTTGTAAAAGGGGAATATCAACAGTACTTAGCATGGGTGTAGCGTAGAATAAGGGTCATGTTCAAAACCCTTCACACGGCCCCCAGGGCATTCCCTGAACTAGCTTCAGTGTGCCTGCCTCTCTATTCTCATTGCCCATCATTCAGTCCATTGCTGTTCGGTGCTGAGACCTCCTGCCCTCAAACTTACCAGGGCCCTTTCTGCCTCATGGCGGGCACCCAGGCTGTTCCTGACACTTGGAGCAAGTGCCACAACCTTTCCCTCCAACCAACCTGTCCCTCCACAGAGGCAGACATCCTGCTTCATGGAGGACTTCTCTCATCCTTGCCTCCACAGATGCTCTCAAAGCTGCCCTACCTGGCCGTCGCAGCACTCATCCCAATTGTAACTGTCCTGCCCCCTACACAGTCGCTCATTTAGTGGCTACCTCCCCAGCTACATGGAAGCTCCATGAAGGCAGGTCTGACCTCTGTGACTTAGTTACAGACACGCCCCTGCTCACCAGCACAGTGTCTGGCTCATGGTGAACACACAAAAAATACCGGGTACTTTTTATAACTTCCTGTTACATCAGGAATGGATTCACATGCAACCAATATCTTATTCGAGGAGTAGTAACTTACACTCATTGGGATTTATTTTATTTATTTATTTATTTATTTATTTATTTTTTTACAAAAGAAGGAAGTTTAAGGCAGGCAGTCTAGGGTTTGCACATCGAGTTGTCAGATTTAGGGGGAAAAAACAACAAAATTAGAGGACGCACAGGTAAATTTGAATTTCAGGTAAACTGTAGCTCTTTATCAATAACTTTAGTGTAAATAAATCCCAGACACTATATATGTAAGACTGTTGTTTTTCTGAAATTCATATCTAACGGGTGTCATATTTTATATGGCACCTCGCTTTTGCAGCGACTCAAAAATGTCAGGAGAAAAAAAGCCAGGGTTTTCCACCCTGGACTTGTGGACCTATCACCAGGAGGTCACAGGGAAGCATTGGAAACTCCCAACATAGTGTCAGCAACCAAGAAGGAAGATGGTGTCGGGAGGCACACACAGGTAGCTGCGTGCCTTCCAGAGTTACCTACCCAACAGTGTCTGCAGACTTCGTATGTCCCTGGAGCCGGAACTGGCTCACGTGGCCACTTCTCACTGCAAAGGGAGGCTAGATAGAGGGTGTCATGTCACATTTGAACCAATTATGATTCATTGTCTGGGAATGCTGCCACGGGAACAAAATCAAGCCTCTTTCAGCAAGGAAGGAGGAGGGAACAGGTGAGAAATCGAAAGTGCCTGCCACAATCTTTTTTTTCTTTTTCTTTTTCTTTTTAATGTTTCTTATTTTTGAGAAAGCATGAGCAGGGGAGGAGCAGAGAGGGAGAGAGAGGGGATCCAAAGCAGGCTCTGTGCTGACAGTAGCCAGCCCGACGCGGGGCTCGAACTCACAAACTGCAAGATCGTGAGCTGAGCCAGAGTCAGACGCCCAACCCACCGATGGCTGTAATTCCAAATTCCTGTTATCAAAACAATAGGAATTTTTTTCTAGAATAAAAATGTAGACACAATTTTTCAAACATCATTTCCGAGAATTTGTGAAATACCCTCTTCACCCCTTCCCCCAGCACAGAGGGATGTCCCTGCTGATTGAAAATTATTACACACTGAAAATCAATGGGGACTTTTCTCCCCATTTCAGCTTGGGGAAGTAGGTCAGAGAGAGGCTTTATCTTAAAGGGGAAAAGAAAAACCTTAACAGACATTAAAAATGGAAATATTCAGGGTGCCTGGGTGGCTCAGTCGGTTAAGCGTCCGACTTTGGTTCAAATCATGATCTCACGGTTTGTGAGTTCAAGCCTCATGAGTTCAAGGCTCTCCGCTTTCAGCATGGAGCCTGCTTCAGATCCTCTGTCCCCTCTCTCTCTACCCGTCCCCTGCTTGCTCTTGCTCTCTCTCAAAAATAAATAAACGTTAAAAAAAATTAAAAATGGAAGTATTCAAAGCACTTTGAGAGGAGATAAATGTCTTTTTGCTTACTACTCTCAGTGAGGAATAAATCAGGAATTGGAAATGAAGGCTACGGGTGCCTCCTTTCTGGCTACGAGTGCCTCCTTTCTGGCTACGAGTGCCTCCTTTCTGGCTACGGCTCCTCTTACCCGTGCAGTGAATGGGACTTTGTATCTATTGCAGAAGGCACTCGCTCTTCTATACTGAAAGGAGCGAACCTGCTGAAGTCTTCACTCTTCTGTGCATGAGTAACCTTTAGGTGAACTTAGAGGAAGGTTTCATCGTTCTTGATCTCAGGAGGAAATTAAAAAGGGACCTCATATGCAGACAGTCGCAGTAGAGGGCGAGATTCAAACCCAAGTTACCTTTTAAGGATATGCTTGTGGTAGTACGTCGAATCCTAAAATGCTGGAGCAGCAGCAGCTGGCCCAACATTCCGTATTTCGGTATGGAAATTAAAACCAGAGCTGGTGACCTGCCCAACCCCATGCAGCTAGCTGGCAGCGGGACCGGGGCCAGGCCACAATCCGCATGCCGCTCAAATATGCACGCACACACACATTTTTAATGTTAACACAAAGAAGGACAGAAAAATCATCCGCCGGAATACATCATCTGCCCTCTCTGCTTTGAAGAGAGCAAGACGAGGAGGCCGGGAAGACGAGGGCCGAGTCAGGGAAACATGAAGCTTTCTCTTCTGGGTTGGTGGAGGCCAGGCAAGGAGGCAAGCCAGCTCACGAGCGGGGGGCAGCCAGCGCGTACTCCATGCCGCCGTCCGGCTGTGCTGACCTTAGGCTGTGGCTCTAGCTGTTCTTCCAACACTCCATCCAAGGTGGAGAGTGAGGGAAAAGCAAGGCTGTGGAAGAAGCAGAACAGGCATCACACCCCTTTTTTGCAGATCCAGAAATAGATGGAAATCGCAAAAGCAGGTTCAGGGCCCTAATCAAGGGAGCATGGCCTGCAGATAAGAGAACATCAAAGACAGACTTTCTCACCAAAGTGAGAGTATCTGATATGTTCGCGTCCATCAGTGTCATCATTCGTGCCGTCAGTGCAGAAGTGGAGACACAATAACATGCCCCCTGCTGGCTCCCAGCTCCCCAAAAAGATACATCATCTTCAAAATTAAAAATTGAGACTAGGGTTGGGGCGCCTGGGTGGCTCAGTCGGTTGAGCGTCCGACTTCAGCTCAGGTCATGATCACACAGCTTGTGAGTTCAAGCCCCGAGTTGGGCTCTGTGCTGATAGCATGGGGCTAGTTTGGGATTGTCTCTCTCCCTCTCTCTCCCTCTTCCCCTCCCCCATGCTTGTTCTCGCTCCTCTCAAAATAAATAAACATTCTTTTTTAACTGAGACTAAAACTCAGATAAAGAAATCCCTATTGACTCTTCTTTCCAAGCCTGCACAACGAGCTCCCACAACTTACTGTGGCAGCAGTGGTTTTCCAGCCTTAGCACGTACCAGAATCACTTGGAGGGCTTGTGAAAACACAGATTGCTGGTCCCCAAACCCAAAGGATGGATTTCTAACAAGTTTTGTCAGTGTGGCACCATAGCTGCCTTCCTGCCTTTCATGAGCCATGGCAGTGCCTTCTCCAACAAGGTTTGGCTCTCATTAGTGGCCACATAAATATGAAGTTTTGAGAGGTAAAATAACTACCAAAATTACACAGCTAACACTTGTTGGAACCAGGTTTGGAACCCAAGTGGTAAGCTCTTAACCACCATACTATACTGTACTGTAAGGCTAGTCCTGGAACTTTGTGACCTGGCTTACTATTGTCATTACACTTAGTTTGCAATCACACTGCCACTGCTCTTGGCTACCCACTATGAAAGGGCTTCATAGTTTAAAATCCAAGAGCCAATCAGAGTAGCCTTCTAACTCTGAAACGTTTTATGCTTATTATATCCCAGAAGTCAACACAAGAGTCGGCTGGCAGGAGAATGCCTGGGATCTTCTCCTTTTGCACCACCCAGTGCAAAACACCATGTTCAACACACTCCTTGAACTTCTCTCCATAAGTGGGTTGCTGCTATCTCTCTCTCTGGGAAAAAGACACATCCAGAAGGCACCCTGGTGGGACCTGCTCATCCTAGTGTTCACTTTTTGTCCCTCTTCCTGTTCTACAAATGCAGGATGTGGTAGAAGAAGGCACAAGGGCATCAGGGATTGATGACAACAGCACTTGAAGCTATTTAGTTTAGGTCTGTGCTGATCTTCATGACTTCTCTGTCTGGTCCAACAATAGTAATCACAGTAGGCAGTATTGTAGATGTTTATTGGGCTCCCTGATTAAGCAGGTATTTGCCTGACTCTTAAAGTTCTTAGGCAGTAACCCAGCTTTAGGAAAACTACATGCAATAATAAACATAGCTATCACCTGTGGGGTGCTGGCCATTTAACCAGGCATTATTCTAAGCGCCCTATTTTTCTCATTTAATACCCATTAGACCCCTATTAGAAGATGGTATTTTTCATATGAAGAAATTGAGGCACAAAGAGATTGAGTAACTGCGCATTGCCACACAGGTAGTGTGCCAGAGCCAGATTCAGATTTGATTTCCAAGTTCATGCTCTTAACCGCTACACTCTACCACATCAGGAATGACTGACTTTCTGATTGATAGGGTGGAATGAGGGGGTGAAGGAGTAAGACTTCACTGAAGATATGACTGGCTGAGTGTTCTGGATGCCAGGATGTGTGGGGCATGTAAAATAGGAGGCTCTCCAGTCCTCTCTTTTGATGTGATTCTTAAGGAAGCAGAGGTGTTCCAGGGTTCAGAAAAGGAGCTCTTTCCTGGGGTCACCCTGACAATACTGGATTGAGGACACATTTGCCTAGCTAATCTCCAGAAATAGCAAAGTTATTTGATGGAAGAGTTGACATCTATATTGGAAAATCACAGGTATTATTATTATTATTATTGCTTCTAGTAAACCGCAAACAACACGGAGAAGTAATATGTACCTGCAGTTGGAAACCTTGACTCAGTTCGCATTGGGGCATATTTGTAAACTGTAAGAGCATTTAGAAAGTTTGAGGTCACTAGCAATAGAGATGATGTTTACAGCCTGAAAATGAAAATCATTTATATCTCCCAAACACATGTAGGAACACAAAATGCTTCCCACCTTTCATGCCAACTATCCTTACACATTCGTGAAACTTAGACCAACCTTAAGAAGTATTACCCCACTTGACAACAAAGGAAAAGGAGATGCCGAGTTGTTACTTGAGGCCACTGACGTAGTCTGCACTGGGGCCAGGTTTTTAATAAAAATCAAACAAAGGGAGATATTCACAGAGAATTGGATTTATTCCAGTATAAATTGTGAACTTGGTTTCTTTTCCAACCCAACATATTTTCTTCTGTCCTTTTTTTTTTTTTCTTTCCAGTAGGCCTATAATGAAGTGCTCACCAAAGCAAAACAAAACAAAAAGCTGTTGTCATTCTCAGGGTACAGTGAGTGTGGGCCCGCAGTTACGGGGCTGTCTTTTGAGGGAGTCCCATGTGGCCAACAATGAAGATTAATTCAAGGATGTGGCACATGGAGAAAGTGGCAGCGGTGGTCAGTCATGCTGAAGAGTGAAGAAGCCCGAAAAGCCCGGAAAGCACGTGGGACGATGGGTAGTAATACCCAGGTTCTCCTTCCAGCTCTGATGCTCGAGCCTGGCCGTGCCCTTTAACTTCTCTGAACCCGAGGAGGCGAGCCTCCTCACAATTGAAGTTGTTCAGCCCCACCTTGTGGTATCTGGCTAAATGGGTTAATGAATATGAAGCATCCAGTCAAATGCCTGGCAGCTGGTGGGTGTTCACTGTTATTAGCTCCGTCTTCTTGAGAAGACGTCTTCTCCGTCTTCTTCCGTCTCTATTAGTCCCGGCCCTCTTGACTCCATCCTACAAGATCGTTCTTGAGATAAATAAAATGTTAGAAAACCATCTGATGGAATCTAAAGGGCTCTGCAAATGTTAACGTGTTAAAGATTATTATGACAGATGAAAACCAAGGCTAGAGGCAAGTCACACATAACCCTTGGGTTTTTAAAAATTATCATTCTTTCCTCTTCAAGCCTTCATCTGATTCTAATTTTAATCATTGTGCCCTATAAAGAACGAATGGAACATATGGTATGTTTGCTCTAGGCCCCACAGCTCTATACAAGGGTCTTCAGCTTTTGCAACAGTAGATAAATACCATCCTCCTCCTCCTGCTCAAACGAACCCTGATCCCAGCCATAAAATTGCATCCAGCTGTTTCTGCCTTGCTCTCTCAGATTTCTTGATCTGGGGGAAAACCACCCAACGTGTTCTGAGAACATTCGAGCGGCCCTGTGCAAAAGCCCAGGTGGCAAAATAGGGCCACCTGCCAAGTGCCAGCATCAGCTTGCCTGCCACGTAGCTGAGCCACCTCAGAAATGGGTCTTCCAACACCGGTCAAGCCTTTAGGTGACCGAAGCCCAACCGACAGCTTGATTTCAACTTCATCAGAGATTCTGAGGCAGAGCCACTAGCGAAGCCACTCCTAAAATCCAGACCCACGGTAACCGAGCAAGGTAACTGCGATTTCAGCTGCTGCATTTTGGGTAACTGGGCAATTCGTTAGGCAGCCCATGACCTACTCCAAATTGTTGGCTGAGGCCGATTTGCAACGCATTTCTGCCACTTTCCACCGAAGACATTTTGAATAATACATCCGAATCACTTGGGATGAGTCCCGGGCGTCTGTAGGTTTTAAAGCTCTGGTAGATGAATTTGATGTGCAGTTAAAAACCTCTGTTTTATTGGGAAATATAAATATTTAACGTGTAATTATAACCCACTGACTTTGAGTCAGCTAAACTGCATTCTTCCCTCCGTGATGCACTGTAAGAGCCCTCGCTTTTAGGCCATTGGAAGTTCGGATGGGCATCCCCACCATTAGGAAAATCTAGTTTTCTTCTCCTATCTCTAACATAGAAATGAGCAAGAAAGATTCATCTTCACTGCTTTCCTCTTCAATTTTCCTCTTGGCTTCATTGCTCTGACTGAAGACCAAAACCGGTTCATATGAAACCCTCCTTGGCCATGGGACAATTTGCAGTGGCTCCCATCACACTCTGTTGCAAATCCTCCTTTGCCCCTGGCTCAAAAGCACTGACTCCTTCATTCCACAAATATTTGTCAAGTACATATGAAAATTCTGTTTGACCCAGAGAAAATGAGGGTCATGATGAGAGGCTGACACTCTGTCTCACTCAAACATA